AGATCTGAGTCACAACCTACACGATGTAATAGCACGTCATCGACATATGGGGAGGGTTGCGTACTTCGACAAGTCAATGTGAACCCTTAGCAGCAATGAAGCACACTGGGGATGTCGATAATCGTATGGGAAATTCCGCGGCCCCATGAAATGTGATCATAGATGGATTCCCACTGAGATGAAGTTAATCACGCTTAAACATTCACTGTAAAACATCCTTCCTTTTAGATAAAACAAGTTACACAATATAATCCAAATTGATACTGGCTATCAATTTCATGCGCTCTCGACCAGCTGTTGGCGCACATTAAATGGATCGGAGTGTCATAACAATAATATATATATAATTGCGTGGGGTAAGGCGTGAAGATATGGGTTGCTGAGTCACTACCTCATGATTGACACTTCATCTATCATTTATGTATTACGCAATTCTTTTCGACATATTGAGTGACCAATTTTCTACTTCGTTACCTTTCTACGTCCGTTTTAGCTCAGTTATGGTTAATCGTTTTCCATTAGGTAACTGTTTACCCGCTCTCTTTTTGTGAATCTTTGTAATCATCAAACCCATCCTCGTTCACTTATCTCTAAATGACTCAACAACCCATTTCCTCCCGCTTGAACCCATGCCATTATGTAAATGTTCATACGTGGTATTCTTCTAACAAGATTCCCTTTGATTTCAGAAATGAGTTCTTTCACCCGTAAATTAAGTCGCCGTAGGTCAACCCATCAACCCCTGTCACTCAAGTGTGACAGCATCGAAGTTGACACAACTACCATCTTAATAAGGAGAATATAACCGAAGCTGTTATTCTATACACCTTTCACAGCAATTGCGTGGACCACCTGCATGTCAAATGTTAATGTGTGCACACTTCTTAAGTTCCGCGAGATCATAATGGAAGTGATGATTGTGAGAAACGCCTAAACGAAGATGTTGCATTTACTACAGGTTACCTCGTCATTGTGTGAACGATGTGTCCTTAATGCCGGAGCATTATACAGTTGGCAAACCAGTCAGGGTGCCCATCCAGCAACATCAGGCTCCGACAGTAAGGGGGTGTTCTTATTGGGGAAGGACGGCATAACGTACTTCGCATCGAGTCACTTCAGTTTGAATCGCATTCAGACTCACATTTTTCCATTCAACACAAATTGTTTGAGAACTCTCTTTATACAGAAGATTTCAGCCCATATCCAGACTCAGTCTGTGTTCAGACATCGAAATATATTTCATTGCAGATTTTCGTTTTTGCCACGATTCAACCATAGATTACAAGCGTATTCAACGTAAGCATTGCATGATGACACCAAACAGTCCAAAAACAAAGTTTGAGTAAGTCAAATTGCATTAGAACTATTGACGATGCATCAACAGAATGTATGGAACATCGCAAGTTCTCCCGAATCCTTCTGGTTTATGACTGCTTTTCAAAGACCGATGGAAAGAGATTTCTATGGTGCGGTATTACACCACATATGAAAGTGTTGATGATGAACGACCTGTGTTGAGTGTTTTCGGCAGTTATATAATCTCTAAGATGCTTTGCTGTTGTGCAATGTTTGGTGGCTTCAGCGAATAGTAAAGCTTGTGCCCTCAGAATATCTGACAGATTGTGAATAACTGATGAGAAAAAATGGGGGTTGAATACGGATTCCTATGGAATCTCACGGAATATGTCAATCGGTCCTGATAGCGAATCTTGAAATCGAACGGACACGGTACGATGCTAAGGAAACTTATGAAATCAACCAAGGAGACCTCCAACACCATTACAGCATTTGGTGATCCCTTCCATGAAAAGCTTTAGAGAAACTGAAAAAATAGATAACGTCCTCTGTTCGCCTCGTGTATTTATTTCATGCAACTACAAGATTTGTGGCGCATGATCGCTTCCGGCGAAACCCGTGATGAGCTGGAGACAGAATGGTTTACTTCCCGAAGTATCTCATCAGGAAATCAGCAACAATTGAATCCATCACTTACGACGGAACAGGAAGAAGAGTAATTGGATGGTGGATAGCGGGATCGCCTCATCAGTCACCTTTGTAAATGGGGGAAATGACACCGTTTCAAGACTGAAGGTGAACCAATGTCTAGTTTAGCTATTATTTGGAATGTGATTCGCGAAAGAGTTCGGCGCGTGAGGTTAGGCTACGCAACCTTGGTACGCGAAAGAAATCCTTACCAATCCGATCGCAAATTTCAGGTGAATTTTTCAACTGTTGAGATCGATTAAAGGATAACCGAGATTTCAAAGCACCTGTGTGATACTCTACTCAACGACACTTCGCTGTGCTCATGAGACGAGTTTACTAGTACGATCAAGCAGTCAGTTAAGTGGAACGGCCCCCAGGACGCGAAAATAAACGACGAGAGAACTGCGTTCATTTGAAATAACAAAATAAAGGAACACATTGGCAGGTTAAGAGGATTTTTTGGCGAACAAAAGATATTTACATCGACCTAAGAGTGAACGTTGAATGAAGATAACGAAAGGTTCCAGTATAAATCGTCTGAAAAGGAAATGAAAATAGGGATAGTGAGAAGAACGCTCAACAAGAAGGCATACAATAAAAAGACAGAAAAATCATGTTTTACACAGTCACGAACAGCATTCGATGCAATCTACAGGACAAGAGCCACGTAAATAAATGGTCAAACTAACGCGTACAACCAGGTGAATGTCAACAGACTGCATATCACTGAGGAAAGCACAGCCCACGGAATTCTGTGAACGATCTAAAATCAAATTCGTGACGCTAGGTTACCACAACCTCCCATTTACTGTCTAGAAGTGGAGCAAACAAGCGCGTCTGTGTATTTAGTGCTTATGTGTGGCCTTAAATTTGGACTCAGCTAAATCGATTTGTCACAAAACACACCCGAATGGTTCAAACAGCTATAAAAAACAAACTGCATAAGAATGAAGGATGCCCTCGGTGGGTCAGTTAGTTGTGTTGTGCGCGCCGAATGCCAGTCCCCGAAATCCCAATCAGAACAGTGACTTAGTTGTGCGAGACCGAGAAATAATAGTTTGGGTGGTGCTCGCTGTCACCGATGTGCTGGGGTTCGAACCCCGTCCATCGTCATCCGAATTTGGTGGTTGGAAGCTTCACTGTCTTCCGGCTCAATATAGCGCAGCCTTATGTGGTTCGACACTCTAAGTCCAGGGAATTAGGTTGTCATTCCCCGTGAGTGAACAACAGGTACTCGTAACAATCGAGCTCACGGCGTCTCCCGTTCATCATACGAGTATTAAAAATATGCCCGAATTTGAACAAGGACGATCACAAAATAACTGAGACCAAATTTCAATTAACGAAAGTCCTTCACTTCTTCTTATCCATAAAATAACATTCGAAGAAAGAACCCAGACGAGAGAGTTAAGTTCGGCGTATACAACCACCAACTTGAAATATTTTATAGACCTTAGGAGGAATCGATCATATTCAAAAACTGGTGTCGCCGGGAATGGCAATAAACTCTTGATTCACATTAACTATGCACCCTTATGCGTAATCTTCTAGCAACCCATCAAGTCGAGAAATGACGGAGGAAATCAAAGTAGACAATAGCATCAAAATGAGAATAAGAAATACAGGAGAATCAAGTGCATAGAGAAACTGGGCAGGCGCGTGACTACCACGACATTCAGGCACAAGGCCCGTGGTTTCTAACCGGCAATAAGGCTGGTCACTAGGCCCCCTAAAAGGAAAGGATAACGTGACCCACAACACCAAGTTCATTATTCAAGGTTCGAAATCCCGCATGCCACGTTATAGTGGCAAACTGTTGCATAAACAACAGTGTTCGAACACCTGTTTCCGTATGGACAAGTCTATACACATATAGCTGACATGTCAACTGGAAGCGGACGAAGCATTTAGTCAAGTTGCCAAGTTGTCCAGGGTAGAACTTCAGTATGCATTGCGTACGGCAATTGCAAAAGACCACAGGATAAGTGAAGTACGAAAAAGGAACAAGTTTTTCGAATAAACAGGATAAAGAAACAAATCCCTTAAAAATCAAGGAATCTGTGCATCAAACTGATTTAGCTCTTTTAGAGAGAGAGAGCAAAGAGGCGTTATGAGACTGACTCTCCTTTTAGAGACTATATGAAAAAGAATTTGGTTTGACGACTTACAGTTTCAGTTTGTACAACCATTACCCATGTACTAGCGTGCGCCGGTTTTGGTTGCTGTCTTTTGGCTGCCCATTTGAATGAACATCAGGAAAAAGACAAGAAAGATTAAAAGTAGGATCAAAGAGAAAATTTATAACTTCAAATTACAACAACAAAACCTAGCAAGAACACCTTATATCTACGCTTCCCTCACAACAGGTATGAAATCCTTGATCAGCCTAATCAGTGGATAGAGACAACGAGTGATATAACTTTCTGTCGTAAACAGGTGTTTATTCACTCTACAATTTCTGTGCACACTTACATCTCCTGTATTTTCCATCCTCGTCTAGGCACTGTTCTCAACTTCTCTCGCATTTTTATTACTCCTTTATTATTATTCAAACAAACGGGTAACCAAAAGACAGCGGACAAAATCGGCGCATTAAAGGGAACGGTCGAGGTTTGCGTACACTGAGCGAACAAAGAAGACGATGAAACAAGCAAAAAAGCTGTTCTAGTTTTTCTGATTATCCTCATTTGTACACAAAACTTTTTCGGTTACCATTGTTGTCGCGTTGACACCATACTTGTTAGTTTTAAAGAGCAAAGCTAGTTTCAATTGAGTTGACCCCAATATCACAGATATTCAGTAAGCAAATTGTGACAAATCGATTCAACAGAGTCCAAGTTCAAACAACCAGCAACGGACTCATTATTGTTTACCAAACTTCGGAGTGACGTCCAACATAGGAGGCAGAAGTATGGAGAATAAGAGCGGTTTAAGATTAGGCTCCAGGTTATAGATAGATATATAAACAAAAGATAAAAAGAATTGTGTGCAACACAAATATAAGTTGATCTACCTTAGCGATGGCGCCGAGGATTAGATAGCAACGCACGTCCGGCTGACACAGGTCGTGGGGAAGGTTCACGTCGCCTGGAGGCCCGATCATCTGGTGGCAGAGCACGACGTTCTGTAGGTGGGGCGACGTACGCGGCAGGGGCACGCGGTTGTCTACGCCAGTAATCGTTCGGTGGGCCCACGCTACGCGGTGAACGGCTGCGTGACGCGCTTCGTCGTACACTATTGTAGTGCGGCNACCGAGCCGGCGAACGTCGATAATACCGATCTGGTTCATCGTCCATCCGATAGTCTCGACTACCAGAATGATGACGACGATCCACCGAGCGAGAACGCGATCGAGAATATGACGAGGATTTTCGACGCCAGTCTACTGGTCGATGGCGTGAATAACCTCGTGGAGCCGGAGTAACGGGACTATAAGAATAGCTTCGGCTGCGACTACGAGAGTAACTATGTCGAGTGCCCCTTCGTCGAGAACCAATTCCTCGCAGAAAGGCATTGACTCGTTCTTCGTACTGAAGTGAAACAAAGGGCAGAAATCATGCGTAAGGTGTTAAAAAGGTGTAACATTTGTCTACAGTACGGCGATCACTTCACCAGTAAGACTGCAAGGTCGCAAAAATCAAATTAGTAGTTCACAGTTCTTCAAACCGGCGAAAGACACACCAACGGTACTCTATGTGGTTTGTAAAAAAGTAAGGGAATGTGCAATCAATATCAATGAAAAGCTAAATCTATGCAACGCCAAGATAGCCACCACCATTACCGTTCAATCACGCAAGGTACAGAATGATGAGCTGCATCATCCTCATCGAACAGCAAAATACAGTAAGGCGAACTTCACTGATCCCTACCAAACTCCCATTGCTTACAAGGTTAGTGATAAAATTTAAGGTGGACAGGGATTAAACCTATTTTGAGGGAGGGAGAAGAAGGTGAACTTCTATGGTCAACAAACAGAGTGCACAGCCGAACTCTGCATACACACCGTTGCAAGCATTCTGACCTGATAAGAAACGACAACAAGAACGCCACTGCTGCCGGTTCACTGCCATATCCTTCAATGTTTCCAACCAACTAGTTCTGGAGTATGTCGGATCCCAACATGGAAGGCGAGAGACACTTACTCTACATAATGACTTTGTGCAATTCTCCGTGCATCGTCTCCATGTCATCTGTTGACCTCCACGCGGTTTACTCCAGCCCGGATTAGCTACAGTGAATAAAGCGCGGTGCGGCAGACGACAGCTGGGCATACGCAATACGTGCCATAACCAGCGAAGTCTACTAATCTGAATTTGGTGTGCCAGCAGGTTTATACCTGATACACTCCCAAACACATGGCAGCTTACCTCCACGTTACTAACCCGTTCGCTCCATCCACTGTGGGCTAAACTGCGTAAACGCCGATAGTAGAAAAGCTCTAGACGACGGATATCTTCTACTTGCAAATTCAGGGTCTCACAACCATAAAGCAGGACTGAACGAACGCCAGCACAATATACACGACCTTCCAACTTCAGTGAGACGTCACGTCTACGCCAAAGGTGTTTCATTCCTGTATATGCTGCTGGAGTCTTGGAAATGCGGGTGGTTATTTCCTTTGCTGCACCACCGTCATTGGTCACGCAACTACCTAAGTAGGAAAAGCAATCGACCATAACTAATTTCTGACCGTTTGGTTTCAGAGCGAGAGTAGGCGAAACCCAATCCTGCAGCATCACTTTGAATTCAGTTCAGTTCTTACAACCATTAACCATGCACTTCCGTGCGCCGGTTTTGGTTGCCCAATTAGGTAAAATAGCACAATGATGATTAGAATGTTGAGAACAGATTTAGCGAAAGGTAGCACATTTTCATAGACTGAAGTTACAAGAATAATGGTTAAATGCACGAGTGCCACTTTTTGCGACACGCAGCCATATTGCTCAGTATCTCTAACCATCGGTGACCATGATCTCCGGGTCCCCAGCCAGGGAGGCTAACGGGACTTATGTGAGCCAGTCTCCTAGTCAGGGTTTTCATACCCTTATGCCAGGTCTTAGCTTGACCGCCCTTCATTTTTTACAATCGCTGCCTGCCTCGCCAAGCATCGCTCGCCGTGGCAACCTATATGGTGACATGCGTAGCACATGTCCCAATTAGCGTAATCTATGTAGGTCGACTACATGTTCCAGTGGACGACCGCGATTACCTAAAACTCTACGTTAACCTCAGCATTGCTAATCCGATTTGCCCACCAGACTCGCGCAATGCTACGTAGACATTTTGCACTTTGAGGGTGCAAAGCACATACCGAACGTGGCAACTGTGCTTGTTAGCCAATCAAGTGCGCTTTGCGCGTCCTCCATACATTCGAACAGACAGACGACACCATCGGCATACCTTAAATCGCACAGCTTTTCTCCAGTTGCCCATTCAATATCTACGTTTTAGAGACCACTATGTGCGCCCTCCAGTATGCCGTCTACTACGAAACTGAACAGGTACGGTGAGAGAGGGAACCCTTGACGAACGCCGTTGCTGGTGACGAATGACCCACTTAG